TTATGTACTGTATCTCACACAGTGCTTCACAGGGTCACATGCACATGTAATGTCATCTTTTTGGCAACCTTGGGCAATTCATCTCCTCTCATACCTGGATCTGTCTGATCCACTCCCATCAGCAAAGAGTCAAGTAGTCCTGTCTGGAACAAAACCACCTCTCTCACTTCCTCTCCCTGGATGAAAACCTTGGCATCTGACATTTTTACTAATGATGTGCAAAGGCTATGAGGGCTTTAAAACAGAGTCTACAGTCTCATTTAGGAAATGTGTATTTCACACCATTTCATGGTTAGTATAACATACAGCATGAATCTGTATAGTCTGACCAGAATTTGTATCCCAGTCCCCTACTTGTGTTTTTTCATCATTGTTTCCATGCTAACACAAACTCTGGTTCAATAAGTGTCCCCTAAAGCATAGCAGTAACCCGTCAATGGACAAGGTTGTTGGCAGGTTTAGTCATTTGATAAGACAAAACAAAAATAACAGTGGACACAATTTGCCTCCTGGATCTCCTCCAAAATTATGTGCCCAATTTTAATATGATTTTACAGAATACTGACTGACACTCAAAGGCCACCTTGGCCAGTCTGCACACATGAGAATAGCATCAGTGGTGAGGCTTGATAAGTGGTCCCATATAGTGTAGCATTCCAAGTCATTACCTTACAGTATGCAATGCTAAAGACATGATTGAACGACAGCAAATTTATTTGACCATTGTTATTTGTTGGGTTTAGTTTAGGAAATATGAGCCTTTAATGCTTTTTTTCTATTGTGTCACTGCAAATGGAAAAGGCAATTTGAAAGAAATAAATCAACTCCTGTATTAATAATTTTAACCATTTTCAATTTAGAGACTAAATGACCAATAGACTACTCAAAAACAGATGAATCACCAACAAAAATAAACATTAGCTGCATGCATTCATGCATTTTCACTGCAGCCTCTCTGCATGGTAAGATCATGTTGAACCGTTATATTATGGGTCTTACTGAGGAGAAAACGACATTTTTTAAAGTCTTGCTGTGAGGGAGAGAAATCAATTTTGCAGGACCTCCCAAATAAATTCTAGATATGGGAAACACTGCTGCCAGTGCATGATATACACAGACTATTCTGAACTAATCTCTTTTTCAAGTTGGAGCAGTTGGACCTGCAGCCATCGCTTCTGGCAGTGTTGATTTCCATCTTCATAAAGCAAAGTCAGACATAAAGAAGTCTGGAGCTTTTGAAAGCGGGCCTGCAGTGAGCCATGCTTCCATCTTGCTCTATAAATGGAGCAGTATGGCGCTGTATCATCATTTCCACATAATCTGACTGATGATGTAACCCAATGCTTCTGTAAACTCAAGAGGACCGCTTTCCTCCTCAGAACAGCAAAGGCAGAACAACATAGCTCCGGGCCCAGGTGCAGACCATACTACCAGACCCTCATCCCATAATTCAGTTCCTGTAAGGCCTAGACCACACGCACACACGTATTTTTGAAAACTGAGTTTTTCCCTCCATCATTAAAAAAAAAAAAAAAAAAAAAAAAATTCCCACCCACACATACACAGTATGTCAAATCAACAACCAGCGATATAACCCTAACCATACAGTCATGCTGGTCAGTCAGAAGCCTGAGCAAAGTTATTATCGAATCCGCTGGCGTTGGAGTCTGTGGAACAGATCAATGTGGGAGTGTTGCTGAGTGTAGCATTGACCTATATACCGAATTCTGATGCAACAGTTCCTCAAAATAGCAGTGTGTGTGTGTGTAATTGTAAGCACGCTAAAAGCCTGGTTAGCAATGTTACAACAATCCTACATCTGCCGCTGCACAATACTGCTTGATAAACAAAGGACATAACATTGCACACTAAGGTCCAGCAAATGAGATTCCGGCACACACTCACGTGGCAAAACAAAAAGTCAGGTTTCCCTGTTCATACGTCAACACCGAAAAAGGAGTTTCTAAAAATCTTCACCCTGTGCAGAGTTTTCTAAAAGCAACGTTTTTAGTGACCTAAACTGCCGTTGACATGTAGGTGAAAGGCCAAAATACATGACCAAGCTACATTTTAAAAAAATACCTATGTACATGTGGACAGGGCTTAAAAAGGCTTGTACAAGCTATTTGTACAAACAACAGATCACCTTCATCTTCCTACATAAAGCTTCACTACAATCAATTAGAAAATACCACAAACTCACACAAGCATAATTAACATCAATCAAAAAGGCTATGAACACTGGCAGATGCAATACGGAAAAATATAGCATAGCCATGATATATTACCCAGTGTTTCCGCTGGTAGCATTCAGACAATGAAGACTGGCTTTCACATTGCTATTAAGGTGCTAAAACAGAGTGAATTTTCATTTACTGATACAGTTATCAATTGGGTTAAAATGATTATTAAAAAAAACAGAACATTTCAGAATTTTTTTTACAATATATTGGATTGGAGCAGAGTTTGCATGTTCTCCCTGAGCCTGTGTGGGTTCTCTCCGGGTACTCCGGCTTCCTACACCAGACCAAAGACATGAAGCTTAGGTTGACTGGTGACTCTAAATTGCCCATAGGACTGAGTGTGAGTGTGTGTAGTTATTCGTCTACTTGTCAGCCTTGTGATAGACTGGCGACCTGTCCAGGGTCGACCCCGCCTCTTGCCCAATGTCAGCTGGGATTGGCTCCAGCCCCCTGTGACCCTATTCGGGAATAAGCGGTACAAGATAATGGATGGATGGATGGATGGATGGATGAGGGCTGGGCTGTGCCCCGGTGCAGAAAAGCCACATAAGGGGATGGAGAGTTGCACCTCATTCATTAGTCCCAAGGGTTGAGGACATTTGGAACTTGTCTGTTATTGTACCTATTTTTGCTTCACTTGTCTCTTCTTGATTTCTGTAGGCTACATTTCATTTTCTGTCAGAAGGGTAGACTTGTAATAATGTTTTTATGTACCAGTTATCAGTTTGAGAGGATCAATTAATAACCAAAGAATAGTTATTGGCTGGTACTGGTAGTGTGACTGTCTCTGTGGGGTGTCGATCAGGACATGGGAGTCAAGATGTTTATTAGTATCCAAAATGTCTACAGTACTTTCTACTGTGATGGGTGGGTGGGTGTGTGTTTGTATGTATGTGCTCTAAAAGGGATACAGAAATAAAAAAAATCTGTGAATCTGCTACAAAACGTTCACTACAAAGTAGACTTTTGTACAATAACTTTATCAAGAGGCTCAACAGACCCATTGAGAATGCAGCTAGAAGAGAGGAAAAGAATGAGTAAGATGCTGAACCCCCCCCCCACCACCTCCAATCCCATCTCAGTCATAAACGCTGCAACCACACCACATAATCATCTTATGAAATATCAGGATTTTCTTTGACTTCCTTCAACTACAAGGATTTAATTATGTTTGATATTTGCATTGAGCATAACTAACACTTAAAAAAGGACAATGCCGAACATATTATAAAACAAACATTTTAATTTTAGCTTCAACAACAGTGCATGAGTTAAGTAAGCAAGTCATTAAAGGCAGTCTAAGATCAGAATGTGGATGACTCAACAACACAGCCACACTAAATATGGACATTAACTAGCAGTGCCATAAACTGTGGAATGAAGTGAGAACCATGCAGTCCTGTCTCTGTAATTAATATTCAACATAACTGTATCAACACAACTCAACTGTCCACACTGTGCATTAAAGGTAATGCTTGTCAGGCTATGATGTACCACTCAAACCAAAACCAAATCCTATACCTCCTTTCCAAATTGTTGCTGTTGTAAATAAAAATAATATTAATTTAACTCAATAATTGGTCTGGTACATTTACATTTCGACATAAGCTTTTCCAGTAAGCCCACAAGAAACTGCATTACAACTACAACACAGGGAGGGCTCCACTCCCTCTGCGGTTCCTTCTCCTGCCTGGGGAACACCCCTTCCCATGTCAGATTGTACACGAAGGACTATCCCACCAACACCCTATGGCTGAGAGTGCTACTCAAACCATATAGCCTCATATGTCAAATGATTTTAATGACTGGTTTAAAAAAGGGGAAGGGGGCTGCAAGGGTTATTAAAATGCTGTTTGACACAAAACTCCCTCAATTAAATTTACATAACGACATATTTGACCAACTTACAGGATTTCATTTCAAAGCCTTTATCTTTGCAGGAGATTACATAACGTGATTCAGAGTATAGGCTGCGCTTGCAATGCAATCGGTGTTCCAGAGAGACCAGATGAACCAGCACAGTCCCTGATGGACCCTCCATGTACTTCATACAAGCCCTCCTCCGTGCCATCAATACACCTGCACACTGTCAAGTGCATTTCAACATGCCACGTGTTTTCTTTTGCACAATGTACCTTTAACTGAGAGACCGTGACTCAACCTATGTGGCTGTGTGTGTGTGCGTGTCTACAGGAACAGAGGGAGCCTAGCATCACTCTTCATCAACAACAAACACGTCCCATCCAGGCAGACCAAACGTCAACAAACCAGCACGACTGTAAATGAAGAAAAAAAATATTCTCAACGCCACATTTCCCTTCCCATCATGACCACATTCATAGTAATATAATTTTAAAGTCTGTTTTTCTTGAGCACCGTGTTTTATTTAATGTACAAAAACGCTAAGTCAGCGCACAAGCGGGTCACGCAAAGAGAGGCGTTATGTAGCTCACTCAGTGTGTGTCCAGAGAAGATGGTACCTCAACACAACAGCAGAAAGCTGTCGTCACTTGGGGGAAAAAAATCGCAAAACCAGCTCGCCAGTAAAGCTAAGCTAATTAGCAGCAGTCGCAGTACAGTCACCGCTGCACCTGCTAAACATTGCCTGCGGGCGGAGGGAGAGGGAAGACCAGGAGACGAGAGGACCACTACTAAAAGGCAGTAACCTAAATAGATGGGATGTTCATGTCCGGACATGAAGTGTTAAATTTCTAGACGGAACACGGAGAAGCTGAGTTAAATGAGAAATGTTCTTACCTGTACAGCCCACAAAAAGCAAGGCTAAAAAAATATCCCTTGACTGGACCATCGCAACTCCCGAGTAACATGAACGTTAAACTGCGTAGCTATTGTCTAATCTTAGCTCGGTCCCTACAGTATTGTCCTTGGGTTTCCTCTCTCTTAACGCTTCATCCAAATGTGTATATCTGAGCTGGTCAGTGATACAGATCAGTAGCAGCACAGTTGATGTCAGGCAGCCGCCAGAGATTATCAGTGATGAGCGCCAGTGCACCGTTCAAAGTCTGACTGACAAGCTGAGCCTTCTCACACACATGAATTAATCCGCACAAGCGGAATAAAGGACCTCCTGTTAAATAGTGCGCTTGCACGGTGTCTAAGAAGACAGTAATCATAAATCAAAGATGAAGAAGTACCCTGGTGTCAAACAAAACCAGTGTCTTAGGAAAACCACCATCCTAGTCGTAAAAATGCAAAATAATACAGTTCATATGATGCTTTGAACTGTTTCCACAACTGCTTCAAAAACACTAAAGTAGACAAAAAGATAAAATGATAACCTTTAAGCAGGTCGTTTTGTGTCTCAGTGGTCTTCTTTTTTGTGTCCTTGTAGTCAGTTTTGTGGCTGTAGTTGATTTACTTGATTTACGTTTATTTGTAGTCGTTTGCATCTGTTTCTGATCATTTTGTGTCTCAGTTTGTGACCATTTCGTATCCCTTTGTGGTCATTATGTCTCTATTTGTGGTATTTTGTTTCTCTTTGTAGTTGATTTGCATCTTTTTGTGGTCATTTGGGTATTGTGCCTACAGGGTAGGTCTACTCATCTGATCTCTTGTTAACATTATTTCTATTTATAGTTGCTTTGTTTCAGCATGTTTCATCTCTGTCTGTTTGTTTGTTTTGCATCTTGTTCTAGCCAGTTTCTTTGTGACCATACTGTACCTAGTACTAGTCAAACAGTCAAAAAATTGGCAACTATTTTTATAACAGATTTAATAATTTAAATACATTTTCTACCCCACCCTGCAATGTTTTAAAACTGGTTAGTTTTAATGGTTTAATTTAATTAAATTTTTTTCCTGAAGACAGTCAAAGTTGAGTATGAAAATATTTTTGAATTTAAAAAAAATCACCCCCCCCCCCCCGAAGTACATGACTTCTGTGTAATCAATGGTAGTCACAGCACTAGAGAGAACACTGATGGCGAAGGCTGTTCATTATAAAAATCATTCAATCCTGATTTATCAAGGTTATCAATTATCTTTTTTAACCTAAAATTAGCAACTTGAATATTTATGAGAGTACTGTGTCCTCTGCCCGTACAGTACCTTAAGGGATTTACAGATACAGATTACAGACATGTAATACTGTACAGTTCAAGTCATAATTTAGAACAACATACTTAATATTCATCATGTTAGCCTCCGTGTTGCTGTACAGGAGAACAATACTGTGCTTTTATCTGTCCAACACTAAATCTGGAAAAACAGCATGTAAATGTCAAAAAAATGCACAATAAAAACCACAGACATCATTGCCTCTAAGCACTGCTGTTAGTCAAATACTCCCTTGAACCCCCCTCAACTCACCAGTGACCATGGAGAGGCTCATACAACACACTTTTATTTGGGTTGTAAAGTGAATGGTACCTGAGAGAACAGAGATGCAAAGGAAGGTGGTGGTGTTTGGTCACACAGCAGGGAGGAGCAGTAGGAACCATTTGGCACCCTGTGAGAGTGCTTTGCTTTTGATTTGCATTGTTGGCTAGCAGAGAAATTCAATGAGCTAAAATTGAATAAACCTAAATCAATCCGTGGCTTGGCTGAAAAAGTACTGTGGTCAAATTTTGCACATTTGCTGCAGCCCATCCTTCAGCTACTATCTCCAAACATAGCACCGCAGGGAGTTTGGTCCCAGAAATGTTCACAGACACTCCCATCCTCACTTCCTCATATAACCACCAGTTTACTAAGAAATAATCAGAGAAAACAGAATGAAGAATGAAGCGTAAAGTGAAGTTTGGGTTTGGGGTGCTGTGGTAGGGAAATGGAGAGATTTGACAGGCCTTTGCTACAAAGAAATATATCACAGCTGATGACTCATATAAATACCCTCAGAATATACTGTAGTATTTTATTCGGTGTGCACCGAAGTTGAAAAGCTGATCAAATCAAATCAAATCAAATCAAATTTTATTTGTATAGCGCCAAATCACAACAAAAGTCATCTCAGGACACTTTACAAAGTAAGGTCTAGACCTTACTGTTATCAACTTGAGCAAGCACTTGGCGACAGTGGGGAGGAAAAACTCCCTTTAACGGAAGAAACCTCCGACAGACCCCGGCTCTTGGTGGGCGGCCTTCTGCCTCGACCGGTTGGGGTGAGTCAATAGAGGAGAGAAAAGAAAAGAAGAAAAGCAACAAGACACAACAATCAAACACTGATCAGGTCGATGTGGCTGGTGACTGCTCGTCAGAGACATAGAGCTCCAGGGCCAGGGCAACCTGCAGAAAGGTACAGGGAGAGAGAGAGGACACACTACGGGAGAGAGGAGACACACAGTTAATGATGTGTAATGGTGGCATATAGAAGCATAGGGAGAGAGAGGAGAGGAGAGGAGAGGAGAGGAGAGCAGGAGGGGAGGGGAAAGAAACTCAGAGCATCATGGGGCCCCCCAGCAGCCTAGGCCTGGCATCATGGGGTCCCCCAGCAGCTCAGGGTCACCTGATCCAGCCCTAACTATAAGCTTTATCAAAAAGGAACGTCTTAAGTCTAATCTTAAAGGTAGAGAGGGTGTCCGCCTCCCGAACTGAGACTGGGAGTTGGTTCCATAGGAGAGGAGCTTGATAGCTAAAGGCTCTGCCTCCCATTCTGCTTCTGTGGACTCTAGGAACCACAAGTAAACCTGCACTCTGAGAGCGAAGTGCTCTGTTAGGATGATAAGGCTCTATGAGGTCTTTAAGATACGATGGAGCCTTGTCATTAAGGGCTTTGTATGTTAGGAGAAGGATTTTAAATTCTATTCTGAATTTTACAGGGAGCCAGTGGAGAGAAGCTAATATGGGAGAGATATGATCTCTCTTGCTAGTTCCTGTCAGTACTCTGGCTGCAGCATTTTGGATTAACGGGAGGCTTTTTAGGGAATTATTGGGACATCCTGATAGTAAAGAGTTACAGTAGTCCAGCCTGGAAGTAACAAATGCATGGACCAGTTTTTCAGCATCACTTTGAGACAGGATGCTCCTGATTTTTGCAATATTGCACAGGTGAAAGAAGGCAGGTTTGGTTTATGTGTGATTTAAAGGACATATTCTGATCAAAGATGACTCCAAGGTTCCTCACAGTAGTACGGGAGGCAAGAGCTATGTCATCTAAAGTAACTATATGATTAGACAGCAGATTTCTAAGGTTTTCAGGCCCAAGCACAATAACTTCAGTTTTGTCAGAGTTTAGAAGTAAGAAGTTGCAGGTCATCCAGGCCTTTATGTCTTTAAGACATGCTTGAAGTTTGACCAGCTGACCTGATTCATTTGGCTTCATAGATAAATATAACTGAGTATCATCTGCATAGCAATGGAAATTTATGTTGTGCTTCCTGATAATATTGCCTAAAGGGAGCATGTATAAAGTGAAGAGAATTGGACCTAACACAGAGCCCTGTGGAACGCCGTGACTAACTTCAGTTTGTGTGGAACATTCGTCATTAACATGAACAAATTGAAATCTTTCTGATAAATAAGATTTGAACCAACTTAGCGCAGTTCCTTTAATCCCAATAACATGTTCAAGTCTCTGCAGTAAGATGGATCACTGGTGACTTTCACCAGTGCGGTTTCTGTACCATGATGGACTCTAAATCCTGACTGAAAATCCTCAAACAAATCATTCTTGTGCAAGTGGTCACATAACTGCTTTGCAACAGCTTTTTCAAGGATTTTGGAAATAAATGGGAGATTGGATATTGGTCTATAATTAGCTAGAACACCTGGGTCAAGAGTAGGCTTTTTGAGTAGAGGTTTAATTACTGCAACTTTAAAAGCCTGTGGAACATAACCTGTTAATAGAGAGAGGTTAATCAGATCTAGTATGGATGTGTTGATTAGGGGAAAGACGTCTTTGAGCAGCCTGGTCGAGCCTGATGTAGCTGATGTTTTTATTTTTAGGTCATGGGCTATTGCTAGTGTTTACTGATGCTTGAATTTTCAAGAAATATTCAGGCAGTTCTCATTTTAAAGGAATGAAATGAGAAAAAAAATGCATAAATTGTCTGCTTAAGTAATTATTCATGGTTATGAAATCTCGCAGGTCCAGTCAGCCAAATCTGTGCTGTTAATTAATAAAAAAGCTTAACTGGAAACAGCATTTTCAATTAGTCTTCAGAGAACTGACAAAATCGTCTAATCTGGAAAATCTGACCAGAAGTTTAACAGTGCTGTGTTTTAGCCTTATTTATATTACTCTCATATTCTGCATGGCAGCATTCCTTGGTCTGTCACACGCTCTAATCTACTTCATAAAAAATGTATTTTGTAGAAAAAAGCTCACTCATGTATCCCCCTAAAAACCATCAGCTCAATTTTGTTAAACTAAATATGCTGTCCATTTCTTATAAAGCACAAATAACATGCTCTTTCATCTACTCAGATCAGCCAGAATTTCTTTCAAAAACTTGTCAAGACCTATTTGGCTTTATTTCTCATGGTCAAACATAGTGGTTGTAGTATTAGTAGGAGTAATAGAAGTAGTAGCAGTAGACTGTATATGCTGGTAACTTCCATCTGTCTCATTCTTCTCAATTTGGTACAGAGTAGCACACAAGTATTTATTTGATATTTTATATTACAAATGCAAAGATGTCTCTCCAACTCAAAACATAGACTTTGTTACACAATGGGCTGCATGAAGATATTTTATGTTTTTCCGGATGTTTCGTTTTGCAGCATCTCTCCTGCCTCGTTCACCTATCTATCTATCTATCTATCTATCTATCTATCTATCTATCTATCTATCTATCTATCTATCTATCTATCTCCTGCCAAAGATGCAAAGAAACATCCTCCACAGTAGGAGAACTTAAAATACCCTCTCTTACCTCCATCACTGCTGTAACAGAAGGCAAAGTACAGTATTGTATGAACACTGATTTCTGGCTCAAGGCAAAAAAGTAGAGACCAGTGGTGCAGGGAGGGGTATGCAGATTGTATGTTCAATGGCAATGAGTGTGATTACAGTAACACAATTTTTCTCACTTGCTTCTCAGATCAGAAATAAAATTCTCAAAACCACAGTATTTGTTCAGCCTCCAAATCATATGA